CAGCGGCGGCGGCGGCGGCGGCGGCGGCCGGGAGAGGCCCCTCCTTCACGCCCTCCTTCTTTTCCTCGCTCGCAGCGGAGCGGAGCCGGCGGACGCGGCTCAGCCTCCAACCCTCCCCGGGCCATGGCCGGCAACGTGAAAAAGAGCTCCGGGGCCGGGGGCGGCGGCGGCTCCGGGGGCTCGGGCTCGGGCGGCCTGATCGGGCTCATGAAGGACGCCTTCCAGCCGCACCACCACCACCACCACCTCAGCCCCCACCCGCCCGGCACCGTGGACAAGAAGATGGTGGAGAAGTGCTGGAAGCTCATGGACAAGGTGAAAGGCCTGCCCGGGACCCGCGGGAGCAGGGGTGGGCGTGGGCGGAGGGGCCGAGGCAGGGGAAGGAAGGGACAGAGGAAGCTGGGGGAGGGGACGGGTCATGCGGGGCTTGGGGAGGCGAGGAGCTGGGGTGACCCGGCCGAGAGGGTGGGGGACGTGGGGGTGGGGAAGAGACCGGGAAGGTGGGGGTCGGCGGTGGGGGAAGGGCTGCGGTTGGGAGTGGGGAACGTTGAAGTGGTGTGTTTGGGGTAGCGAGACAAAGATGGGGTGGGGGCTGGGGTGAAGGTTAACTGGGAAGCCACCGGGGCGGAAGTATAATGGGGGGGTGCGGAGTTTGGGGCTCTGCAGGGTCTAGGGATGTGGGTCACGAAATTGGCCCCAGGAGGTAGGAGGGAGGGGGAGGGCGAGGAAGAGTGTGCAGTTTACCGGCTGGGGTTGTTAGCTGGATGAGGAGTCGAGCTCTGAGTCGGGAGTTAACGTTTATGGGCTCCGATTGAGAGACCTGGGGTCAGGACAACTCTGCAGGCAAACTGCGCTCGCGGCGAGCGCAGAGTTTTTTCTCATTAAGATGTAACACCAAGATAAAAGAAATTCGGGATGTTTAAATGGGCCAAGGAAGGAACTTTCCTCCACATCCAGCGCTGGGGCAAGTTTTTATCCTCCAAAACATTGGACGTGATCTATTGCTGGTGCTGAGATTAAACCACAGGTTCTGGTTAGAACCATTATCTGGGGAAAGATGTATTAACTGAGCGTGCTGAGCCCCAAATTCAGACTCTTTCCAGATTCTGACTGCTTCCAAAAACTTCCTCCTCACGCTGCTTTTAGCTGGGTTCTACTTTCTTCGTGGCCGACCTGACTCCTTGTTGCAGGACCCGGCTTTAAGCTTGTTCAGTGAGCTTCTTTGATGACCTTTTTTGAAGCAAGTGTGAAAAATACCGCTTTTATATTTGGCCATTAAGTTTGGCGTTTGGGAGAATTTTACTTCTTCATAGTGTCTGTATAATGAAATATAGTAGTCCAGAGTATTTAAAAGTGTTTAAGCATTTCCAGAGAATTCAATACAATATTTCCTTAATATTTTTCACATTCGTTAATTCATAACTTATTTTTGAAAAGTAATTAGAAATATCTGGCATATTGTAAGAGAACGGTGTTATTTCCTCCAGAGTAAACTTGGTTTTCTTTGGTTCCTCTCTAGGTCTAGGTTCCTCTTCTGTAAGTTCTTCATGGATTGTTTTGGAGTAAAACAGCTAATAAAAATGATTATGAAGCACTTGGCAAATATAAACGTTCTGTATAAATGCTTAATAAGACCAGTGCGTGAATTAACACTCCTGCAGTGCATACAAGTGGTTTCAGAGCCACTTTTTCAGGGCTGGTGTTTCTCATGTTAAATAATTGGTGCTGTAATTAAAGATACAAGTATTTGTATATTCATTATGTTGGTGGTGTAGTGCTAATCTCATTATTAGAAATCATAATAAAACCATTACAGAAAGTTAGGCATGGAAAGGAAACTTTGAATTCATTGACACCTTTAAAAAAAAAAAAAAACCAAATGTATTCAGTATCTGAAGTTTGTAGGTTTGCATTTTAAGGATTTATAGCTAAGGACAAAAAAAGTTCTGGAATAGAGAAAACATTTGTATTTTTAGTTTCTCGTGTAAGATGTATGTATGCAGTACATCAAAACTATTGACCAAAGACCTTTCCTTAAAAATAATAAACTTTTTCTCAAACTTTTTCATCTCTATAAAGTAGTTCAAATAAGATCCTTCTTTAAGTTTTATTTCTTTATTTCTTAAAGTATGTGTATGGATTTTTTATTTTTTCTTCAGAATATTTAATTGGGAAGAATAAAGAGGACTCATTTTGAGTGCTTTTCAGGTTTTGATAGTTTCAGAGAGAGTTGGTGCCTAGCTTTCCCTTTCTAGTGTTGGGAGAGAGGGACGTTTTATTCTTGTGTTGCTTGTCCTGGAGGGTAATTTTTAGTACTCTTCTGTGCCCCATATCACATATTAACTAGTCATGCTGAAATAAAACTTAGTTCTTCTTTCTGATATATTTGTCTGATAGGTTCATGCCGCTCTCCAGATTTTGAGTACTTTTGTAAACATTAGATTGTAACTGTCTCTTCTGTGCTTGCATAGATGGTGTTTTTTCACTTTTTTATTGTTAGAGTCTTAAATGTGTCCGTAACCCTTCTTGACTTCATGCAGTATGATGTAAGTGGTAAAGAACTTAACTGTCAAATCCACAAGTGTCCCACACGCTTACTGAATTTGATTCTAAGTCACCTTCTCGTTCCTGTTTTGTCCTTGTTATTGAAGCTAGGTGACTGTTATTCCAGCCTATTAATTATCAATTTATTGACTTAGCACTGGGAACTGTTGGCGTCCTCCCCTCCCCCAATATTGAATATGTGCAGATGGAGAAGTTGGCATAAGTCATGGGTTCTGGTCAACATAGGCCCGATTTACCAATCCATTGTGGAACTTAAACTCATTGTTGGGAAAATGCTTGTGCTAGAACACTTGTTATTTAACAAAAGACATGGTCAGCCTCTGGGGTTTTTTTGTGCTAGCCTAGTATCTTGTAATTAATATTTGTATAAATACTTGTGTGTGAAGAAAGTGGCCAGTCAGAGACAAGTGGGCAGGGGAATGGAGAGAGAGAAATCCTATAAATTGCCTTAAATGTCAACTTGGAAGTATTAAAGTATTTAATTTGGTGAGAGATTCAGAATTCTGTTTTGTTGTTGTTTTTTTCAACATTCTGTTATCACGTAGAGCAGGAGGAGCTGGCAAACTTTCTGTCGAGGGGACAGACAGTAAATATTTTAGGCTTTGCTGGACCCACTTAGTCTTGTTTTCTTTGTTGTTGTTTTACAAATCTTTAAAAATGTAAAAGCCATTCTTAGCTTGCAGGTGTAGGAAAAAGGCTGGAGGTTGTAGGTTGCCGGCCTCTGAAGTAGAGCAACATGCTGGCTGTATTTTAGGTCTGTACTAGGTTTTTATTTTGAATCAGCTTGTATCATTAGAACATTAAGATGTTGATTTTTTTTAATGGTTATCATTTATAAAAGAATTTATGGGGCGCCTGGGTGGCTCAGTTGGTTAAGCATCTGGCTTTTGGTTTTGGCTCAGGTCATGATCTCTGGGTCATGAGATAGAGCCCTGTGTCCGGCTCAGTGGGGAGTCTGCTTGAGGATTCTCTCTCCCTCTGCCCCCCCCCCCCGCTCGAGTATGTGCACTCTCTCTCAAATAAATAAATAATATTTAGAAAAAGAATTTATAATTCCCTTATGATTTATGAGGGAAAAAAGCTTCCTTTTAAGGCATGAGTTTAAAAAAGTATTTTCAAAAAGTGATTCTTCCTTTTGCTACCTATCTTCTGTTTGTCCCCCCGCCAAAAGTACCTGAGTAACTTTCTGTAATTTGGAAGTAAGGTGCATTAAATAGAATTTATGATTCAGTATATTTCATTGGACTACTTCCTCCTTCCCTCTCTCCCTTCCTTCCTTCCTTCGCATGCTAAGTCCCAAGCATAGTACTAGGTGTGAATTCTTACCTTCTAGGAGATAAGGGACCACATAAGTGTGTACAAAGTAATACAGGATCTCTTAAGTTTAAATGTAGTGTTCATATTTCTTCAGTGTTTATCTTAACCTCTCAAGATTGTAAACTCCATGAGGACAGCAACTATAATCTGCTTATCTCCTGCAGTCTGCAGTCATGAGGCTTTACACAATAGTAAGTGCTTTGTAAATATTTAAATTGCTTTGTATGTTCCAAAGGAATAACTGAAAAGGTGTGGGGGTGGGAATAAATTTTAATTACACTAAACTTATTTGTCACAGTAGCCCTTTGGTGGTATCATGTCTGTTTTATAGATGGAGACAATTAGGCTCAGAGAGGTTACATAATTTAATTTAGTTAGTGGTGGAGCCTCCTGTGGAATCCAGGATTACCTCTCCCCTAAGGCTTAGTTATTCCCTCCATACAGTACCTTCTCAGGTATGCAGCAAAGCTTCAATAACAGAAAGCCATTTATTCAGAAAGTGACCTGTGTAGGTATAAAACAGTCTTCACGCACACACGTTCCACCATCCACACGCTCAAGCAGAGTAGACATTCTCTTGAATGATATTAGGAGAGCATTTAATATCATTCAGTGAAATATCATCTGTTATCTGCTTTCAGGTTACGGGTTTGTGTCTCTCCAAATTACGTGTATTGGTTACTTTGCATGGTGATCACAGAGGCTTGTACCCTTGATTTTCCCATTATACTCAGTGTATGTTCTCTGTGGTATCATTTATCACCCTTTTTTCCATCTGTTTTACCCTTCAGTAGAGCTCTTCAGGACCAAGGCTTTGTCTTCATTTCAGTTCCTGGGCCTAACATGTGGTACTTGGTGAATGAAGTGCAAACATTTAACAAAGTAAAATGAGCTCAGAACATAGTCCCTCTTCATTCTCTGTATGATTAATTAGGGGGAATCAGGTAGGGAATCTCTTTTTTTTTTTTAAAGATTTTATTTATTTGACAGAGAGAGATACAGTGAGAGAGGGAACACAAGCAGCGGGAGTGGGAGAGGGAGAAGCAGGCTTCCCGCGGAGCAGGGAGCCCGATGCGGGGCTTGATCCCAGGAGCCTGGGATCATGACCTGAGCCGAAGGCAGACGCTTAACGACTGAGCCACCCAGGCGCCCCGGGAATCTCTTTTTTTGAGCGCTGACTTGCAGTATTATTTACTCAAAGTAGTTTTACCTTTCTCGGTTATAAAGGTAATATGTAGTCATTGTAAAACATGATTGTGCTGTTAAGACCTCCCCCAAAGGATGTAAAATTCTTCATAATTCCTTATGAAACACGAGCTCCCTTGAACATTTTCACATGATTCGTGATAATTTGGAAGGTATATGGAAAAAAAGTGAGGTTGGGCCAGGGGAGAAGAGAATCTGTTCATTTTGTAAAAAGTCGGGTTGACGTTTTTGGTAACTCTTGCTACAGTAAAACCTGTTTTTAGTATGTGGTTGGTATGTTGTTAGTATATATACGTTAAACCTGATAAATCATGGGCAGATTGGTCCCTTACTCTTACTGCCAACAGAATTCATGTTATATTCAAACATAACAATTTAGTAATGTTTATACTATGAAAAAAACCCCGTTTCCCTAATGATTAACCCAGATCATTAAAAGAAAAACAAATTAAGTATTAACTTGAAAACGGAGTCTGAACTTCAATCACATTTTTTAATGAAGTTGTTAATTCTGATCTACATTAGGTTTGTTGGAATTGGGGGGTTATAACAAGCAAGTCATTGTGAAATGTTTTCATGATTAGCACATTTTGTGCCTGAAGGAAATAGGTGGGAGTAGGCAACCAGGAGCACTGGAAGCCAGCCTCAGCTCTGTCCCCACAGTGTTCCTTCCTGCAGCAGCTTCCAAAAGGAGGAAGGGAGAGGGGGCTTATGGGGGCACTGATAGCATA